TCAGCTATAATAACCTTAGGCTCTTTTACCAAATCTAACGCAGTAACTTCGAGTAACTATATATATATATATGTTTATTGTTTATTAGGCAGGCAATTTGTGTCGAGTTTTTCCTCTGTTGTTGCGTCATGAGCGACTCGATCCGTCTTTGCTATCAGCTCTTCGGCAGACACAAATCATCTTAACTGTTTACCCCATATGAAGAAATTATTTGAATTAGAAAGAAACATTAAACATGCATCTTTCATCATGGTAACAGTTTACTTGGTTTCATAACGTTTGAAATAGTTTTTGCGTTATGATCAAAGTTTAGTGACAGTCTTAAGTGTCGCGAATGGTGAATTTGTTTTGTAGGTGCCGGCAATGTTCAAACGCCTAATTATTCGGCTGTAAACAACTTGAACGTGCTTATGCCGATCTGTTGCACAACGGCGACGCAAGATGTTTCGTCTTCTGTTGGACTTACTCAGGTAAGCAATGTTGTTGTTGACAAGATTTTCGCTGAGCATAAAGATTCTTATCGCTGATTATGCAATGTGCCATAAAGCTGCTGGAAAATTTACATAGGAAAAGTGCAGTATGGTGTTGTACAGTTATTGCTCACTGGTCTGTCTGACAGTAATGGTCGAATATAAGCACTGGCGGGATGTTCAGAGAATTTCGGCATTTCGTCTGAAGGTAAAACAGTCATCGAAACCTAATGGTGAAGTTTGAGGTGTTAACAGTTGTTGTCATCGATCGAATGTTGGTCTTCCTTACTTTTGTAATGAAGATACTGCTTCAGTGAACTCACTGAATCAACCCACTGAAAGTCACTCACGAAAATCTGTGCGGTCTGATTGTTTCTTTGCTGGTTGTCGTAATAAGTGATGCGAAGGTGTCACAGCCATGAGTTGTTTATAAATAGGGTTAATGCATGACGGCAAGACCCATTTTCTGACCCTACTACGTTCTCCCTATAGTTCACTTCATTGCTTCAGAACGACAACTTTTCAGCAAGTTTACGGTTTGGGTATTATTCACTGTTTTTTACTGATTTGACTCGGAAACACTGGATATACATGTAGTGATTAGCATGAAGCAGTACATCATCTGAAATGGACAAGCTCAGTCACTTTTAAACGCTGAAGCTAGACTTTGACCAGAAAAGTTGATAACAAGTTTAGTTCTGCTCATGTTTTTGTGGCTTGTCTTAGACGGTGCCAGAGTCAGTCAGTCAGTCAGTCAAAATCCATTGATTACGTTGTGAAAGACTGCTGTGTTTGTTGATACGCAGAATTCGCTAATGTTTAGAAATGCATAAAAGCTGTTCGTATGATTTCAAAGTTCAGAAAAAAATTTCGATACCGTAAAACCTGGTTAATTCGAAGTACGAAAATATGAAGTCATCGATATAAGGAACGAAGGTGATGCATTGTCTTAAGATGTGATATTGGTTCAGTTTACTGTAAGTTGATTTTAAAAGTTGGACACAATTTTGATTCTTTACAGCAGCAGAGAGACAGTAGCCATGTTAATCAGGTCAACCGTTTGTATCTCTTTAGTTAATCCGTTACCAGACTTGTCCTCGTTGTGGGTGTGCCTTAATCGTGTGACAGCACTCATCCAATATTCTCTGTTTTCCGCTTTCTGCCGTTACCGTTAACAAAGCAGTTTGACCGTCAGATCATCCAAGCGTGTTCTTGGAC